TTAGGTGTCTATTGCAGTCGACCATGTCATCGCTGCTATGTGCATGTTTTAATGATCATTTCAGCAAAGGGACGAACTTAAAGTAGGAAATTGACATTTAACCGTGAATCCAGCCTAGTGCACCCAGCTCGCCATGCAAATATCATCTTTATTCTAAAATAGGCTTCATTCTAAACTGTCATTTAAGTTGTATTGACTGTAATATGCCTCTTAATTTAATGTGTGTAGGGATTCTTCGGATAATCCCTTATATTCCACGACAATTTGATTTGTTTGAACTAGCAAATATATTTTCATCATCTGTCGACATAGTTTCCCGTTTGTTTTTCTTGGTATGCCATGATGCACAACTATTTTGACTAGTGAACGCCGTGATTAGCCCTCATCTTCACTCAAAATTCGGGACGACGTATGGTTCGCTTGGAACATCACCCTTAAGAAAACTGTAGTATGACGACGGTTACTCAAGAAGCTGTATATACAAACACAAATCCAAAAGTATCTTTTGTGCTGAGACCATAGTCGAATCAAACTGAGTTGATCATAAAAATACGAAGAATATTTCGGGATCAGGAATATTAAGTGGTGATTGTTGCCTAACCCCCTACGTCGCGCGCACGAATAACCGAACGTACCACTACAGCGTGGAAAGTGACGTGGTTGCTTGGTGGTGTATCATTAGCTCCCAGTGCTGTGGGTCAGTCACTACGGTAAACTATTCCCCTTTAATTTCCCGTAACTCGTTTGTGAGTTTCGCGTATTGTAGTTCTAAGCAATGTTTTAGTTGAATTAGGCATGGCGGTCAATCATGAGTATTTGCTTGGTATAGTACTTGTGTTCTGTGACCGTCTCATTAATTTGTCCAATATAAAGTGTACTGGAGGAATTTAATTTTTATCCTAACGTCCACTGATAATTTCAAGCACACTATAGGAATAGTCATGAGACCAATTTAGGGACCGCATTCGTGGTTATATCCCGCACCAGTGGAACTCTTTGATGCCAATATGAAAGCGTGTGCCGACTTTTCATGTGGAATGTCGAACTTCTTATCAGTAGCAGATACTTCCAAAAGGACACTGGCAGTGAAGCACAGGATTCACATAGGCGATAAGAGGTAATAATAGTAATTTATATTTCGTATAGACGAGTAGGTTTACAAGAAATGCATGCCATTTTTGCAGGCAAGATCAGTTATGTTACAAATTACAATCGTGAAGTATCATAAACTAATACCTTTTCAAACGTTTGAGTTGTCCGGTTATTGTACGAGCAATCAAAACCGATTCCTATGAATGCTGAATTGTTAACCCTCCACTAAGGTCACCATCAAGGTTGAGTGCCAACTCAAACTTCCTTCTGTTTCACGCTGATAATTATGGTCAGCCAGTGAACAGCGCATATTTGGGTAAGTGCTACGCCGCCACATGACTAAAAGCTATTTCAGGAAGCGAAGAACGTCCTGGGAAACTGCGAAATGGTATAAGATACAATTATGAATAATACATGATTGAAAATACATTTACGAGATATATACAAGAAGGAGGTGGAGACTCCTTGGAATGATAGTATAAATTTGCAATGTTTAATGCTGACCATATTTGTCTAAGCATGAAAACTATGACGTTTTCGATGAAAATATAGCTTTTCTCAAACAGTGTTGTTGTGTTTTTCATCGAAGCAACCAGACTTTAAGCAAGCAACGATTATGAACAACGGGTAAGTTGTAGCTTTAATAAAGGCCTAGGTAGCTTAGATAAAATGGAATTAAATAGTACGTAAATAAAAAGATTATTGTGAAGTAGATGAGTAATGCTTCAGTAGGAAGTGACTTCGAAAATCTGGAAGATTAGAACTCGTAGGACAAGCTGACCTGTAAGATGTCTGACGAATTTCTGTAGAGCCCATGAGGCAGCAACTTGGCAAGAAGCTGAGAAGACTTGTACACGCCAGGAGCAGAAGCGTTTCTGATAATTTGGCTCTGTACAACCCTTATGTTCTCCTTTTACCGTTAAGGAGCTAGACTAATGCATAATTCTTGAGCTGTCAAAATGCATGTTGCTGTCCTACAGATTGGAGCGATTCACATTTTCGACCACTACCATATCTGCTGTTCAGCATTCGCCACCCTCCTTCCCTTTTGATGTTAAGCCCTGACATTTTTTGGCAGTAACTGTAATTGCAGAATTGCATTGCTTTGAGCCCATCGCAGTCATACAGTTTGCTGCACATTAGTAGCTTTCATAAAAAATACTTCCATTAGGTCACTAGATACATCGATACCTGAAGACGCTGTTAGCGCATCATCTTTATACATAGATACATGTGTATAAGCAGGTCATTAAAAACGACCAGGAAATCAGGCTTTCCTTAAAAAATTTCTAAAGTATAGAAGTAGTTAGTATTACAGCAACTAGGTTATAATCTATTTAGCAGAGTGAAATGGGTAGTGGAACAATTAGTGATAAAGTTATGTAGAATGATCCTGAGAAAAACAGTCGGATAAAGAACTTAGTATGCTAAATTTTCGAGACCGATTTTCGTATGGTATGCGTCAGACATTGCAAAGTAACCCATCAACTTATGTTATGGAAAAATGCTGAGAAATGTTATAAAATTATACATTTTAGAAAAGTATGTGAGAAGAGGTGGCTATAGACTGCGTAAAGTCAGTTCAACACAAAAAATAGTAGTGTATCGTCGACTATGTGAATATGTAATATAATAATAATATTGTTGTTTCTAGAATTACTTATACTAACACAACTTAATGAAGATTGAGGAGAACAGAAAATCAGTGAACCATCTAGGCGTTCGCTGCGTAAGCAGTAGAATCGAGTTTTACGTAATTGACTACACTGAAGACTGGACTGGCTTTCACTTACCATTCTGCCAAAATTTTTGGTCTTTTAGACGAGCTAGGTTGGACATATTAATGTGTCTTCCTAGGCTCCATTTGAATTCATGAGCGTTTTTACAACATCTAGTTTCAGACGGTATTTGGTTTCAAAAGTGCAATATTTAATGGCGAAAAACTGTCCCAATGGTTTTCCTGTGGGTAGCCACCTTGAGAAGGTAGTCTTGGTTTCGCAGCTGATATGATTTAATATTTGCCCACTTTATGGATGAGTTACTGTAACAATGTTTCCTAATGACGTCGAAGAGTAGAAATGAGTTGCATTTTACTCTCCTTAATCACAGGGGTTCTAATTTCAGTCGTAAACACTTGTCAACATATTCCACTCGTTGGTCAGACCCTATTATGTGTTTCGTGAGGGATCTCTGGACACTTTCGACTCTTTTTCAGTCCGCAGACCTTAGGTTACATCATATAAACAGACCGAGTGTGTGTCCGAATGGGTTTTAATTATTTCGAAGAGTTGTCTTAGCAACGTCGGTGGCACAGTGGTTAGGACTCTCGCCGACCATGCACATGGTCCGGGGTTCGATCCCCTGCCGGCGCACACCCGATATCTATGGTCGGCGTGAATTTGGGCTACCGATATCCATGCTGAAAATTCCACACTTGTACTGAAAATACGGTGTGGAATCAAGCTGTAAATCAAAACAGAAAAAATAAAATAAAAAAAATAAAAATAATAATTCCCGGCAGGTGAGAGAAACACTCTGAGGGAAAACATCATACCTTAGTGAGACGAGTGGATGACGCAATGAAAATGAAAAAGGGTGAATGTGAGCATTTAATTCCGAAAGATAAGTAATCTTCCATACCACTGAACAAGAGAGAAAATATTTAAATGAGATACATATGCCATTCATTCAAACATGCGCATAGGACTCGAGGAAAAATTAGCACATTGACAGCTGAGTTAGGGGAGTGAGGCACGTTGTCCCTTAAGCCATTCAATTTTCATCAGTGTCTCTCGTCATTTGTTTTACTTTCTGATGCCTTGTCGAATGAATAATTTGCTTCGCAGTATTAGGAGCAGTTACCCAAAACCACACGGAATCTTTTATATCATGCTGTATCTGCAATTAGAATGCAGTAGGTGGTTGGAACAAAGATCGTTTGGAATATTTTAGATAACTTTATAACCATGTTAACATCCACTTTGGAGTAGTGTTATTGCACACACACACCCTAATTATAGCATAGAAGTTAATTGCCATGGTGACTTAATGATAAACTAAACATTTTGTGTGCTTTTAAGATGAAATTTATCACAAACTGATGTTTTGGAACACTTATTATTGGTGGCATTATATTCTTGAACTGCGTTACATTTGTTGCACTTTTATCAGGAAACGCCGCTCGCTACTGATATTTGTCTGACGCAGTGGAATGAAGAGGGCAGCAAGTTCGATAGTTAGAAGAATGTTTTTGGATGTTTACGAGATCGTGCTGGTGTATTTTGGCCTGCTCACTGAAACGCCCTGGAGGGTTTCGCAAAGCACTCATGTAATATGCGCCAGTTATGGCTGAGTATCTTGCATGAGGAGGATCCCTCAGTGATTGCTGACTCGAGGCAGCATCACTCAGTCCTAGCATGATCGGGTTGTACTGACCTTGCGGAGAGACACGTAAGATGTTTTATCCAGAATTTCCACAACTCTCAGTCATTCTTGATACCCAGGGGCGGCGGTCCTCACACAGCAAGATTGTGCTCTCTAGTTTAAGAATGTGTGCTGGCTTTCTGGATAGAGCATATATCAAGAGGTTCATGTGAGCCCGATTTCCTGTTGAGACTGAGTTTAGAGCACGTTCGACACCAGTTTGAAACAAGCGAAGCAGCAGGCACACAGACAATACAAACAGAACATGAGCTGTGCAGATAACTTTTATTCCACGAGATTCAGTTTTAAAAACTGCGTGGCTCCAGTCTAAAAGCCTAACAGTCTTTTCTCTTGTCTTCGTTAGGGTTAGTTCCTGTAAATGTTGCATCTCTTCATCCAGATAATTGACTCCCGAGTATTCTCTTGCAAGTAAAGAAAATGAAACATTGATTGGTGTTGATTATACAGGTTTTGTTCCCATTACAGATGGATTCAGTACCTACAACGCTAACCTGTCCTATAAATTTAATTTCTCTCCAGCTGTCGCTAAAACTCACTAGATTCATAGGAAATATTTTCTTTGACTGACCACAATATTTTGTGAAAGAAATTTGAGACGGTTTCTCAGTAAAAACAAGCTAAAACTCATTCAATTGGCTGATTGAAGTGGAAGTATATTGGTTAATAGAGCAGGCGCTGCGCGCCATGCTTAGAGGTGTTGCTACTTAACTAAGAAATGAACTGTAGGGAGTATTCCTTCTCTTTTGTAAGTTTCTTCGAGTTTGCTTATGATTTTTACAGGCCTTACAAGATCCAGAAGTTCCGGAAATTGTCTCAGGTACCCTCTTGTGATAATCATATTTTTTAGCTCTGTTTCATACCATTCTACTACACAGGACCTTACCAACAGTGAGTGGTTTTGATCATATAATCTTCTTATAGCTTGATTTTAAAGGAGGAGCGGTTAGCTACAATTCGTATCTTGGAATTCGAGATGTAGATTGCAAACACGTTGACTTGACTTATGTAAGTAAACTTAAAGGAAATCCTTTGGATGTCCTCTGAAACACCCGACTTACAAATCTAGAGAACCATTAGATTCGCTTTGTTATTTTTACGAATAGTTTTTCCAAATAATTAAACTGCTATGTGTCACACCGCTTCTCAATTTAAACTATAACTTGCAAGATAATTTCAATTGTTATTCTCAAGGATTGACGTTACCTGGGCTCCTTGGACATTCAGAGGTTCATGCACAGTTTGAAGTTATGGAACTCCTGGAAATACATGATTTCATATATTGTCCCTACGGCATTTCTGTGGCATTTTTCACCTTGAAACTTTGGGGATTAACCAAAAAATAAAAAATACCACTATGGAAGTTCTAAGAAAAATTATGCAACTCAACTTGTTTTTCGAAAACTGTTAGTTTGCCAGAGGCTGTTTGAAAACTTCTGTATGATCAGTAATCTTCGTGGGTTTCATACGAAGCACCGTAAAGATTGCACTTCGCTTGTAGTATTAAATGGTCTGCCAATTAGGGAGAATAGTGCTTTGTCACTGTGTAATCTATTTTTGAGAAATGTGGAAACCACAATCTAAGATTTCTTACTGTGCATCAGAGCTAGGAATCTTGATGCAGAAATCCTCCGAAAAAGTATCATTAAGCTAGATCCCCTTAAAATGTATTAATTCGGACGTTTATGTGGCTTATGAAAGCTGAAATGATAGGTGATAACAATCAATGTGTTTGTTAGTATGTGGTTCATATAGTCTAAGTGCATAGTAATGCTTTCAGTTTGGTATAAGCCTGAGACCTTTCTCTCCCTCGGCGAATATGTTTCGTTTACTTGAGCAGTTATTTCATTTCTGACAAAGGTGAAATGGATAAAGTTCTCAATTTCGTTTAGAAACTCAGTGCCCTGTGAGTCACATCTGGTGGTTTATGGTAAATTCATTTAATAATGCTTCCAGTTTTGTTCTGTACACATGGGACCTAGTCTCATTGAGCTGAGAATTTGGGTTTATGATAATCGGTCTCTTTAGGAATCTATGCAACTGATGGTGCTATGACGTAACTCACAGGTGTGATTTTTAGTGTTTCAACGAGTTTGACATTTCCTGTCATCTTGGGACACCGTCTATGGTGGCTTGAGCATGTGTTACTGATGTCTTACGAGGAGCTTTCATACCTTTCACTATTCGTTATCTCTGAGACTTGTCGAAAGAAACGTGATCAGCATATGGAGTGGAGTGTAGTATCAAGGATGGTTGCGTTGGCACCCGTCATCTGTATGCAGTCTGCGAAACCACCTGACTTAGTAGCTGTAGGATTTACTAGATGTAGATATCGATGGTGACCAGTCTTTACGTTTTCAATGGATAAAATAACATGAGATGATGTGTTTTAAAAAAATGTATTTGACAACTCTACTGTTGAGCAACTACCTGTCTCTTTTTCTATATTATTACTTTGCATGTTGCACTACTTTGTGCCCATTCTACGCAGATTTTGTGTTTGCATCAATAACTGTAATATTTGTCGGTAGCATAACAGTGATATGTTTTGTTAACGGAATGGTTAATCTAAGCTATGCACCTGTTCAAATGATGTATTTAAGTTAGGGGTGTGTATTAGACATGTATATGCAGTCATAAAAGTTATTTAAAATAAAAGAATGTTTACTTTTAGTATTGCATTTTATCAATGGCTTAGGTATTCATCATTTAAAGAAAGTTAAAAGTTAAGCCAGCTTGGGAGTTTTGAAAACCAATCAATTGTTTGAGAGTAGAGCTTATTTCATCCCCATAAAAATATTGGTAAAACACGCTGATGGATACAAATAGAAAGTTTGGTGTACTTTGTTACAATGCCAGATGAACTGGTAGATGTATACATTGATGGCTAAGTGCAGGGGCTTATTCACCCCCAAAGATCGAAAATTTCTTTTATCGATAGATATCAAACTATTGAGGAATTGTTGGTAATCGATTTCGCTTTCATTTAGATGAATCCTATATAAAGTCTACCACTGTATGTCATCAGAGGAACTTGTAAAGGAACATAAATTTTACCAGGCTGACCCTATTCTTTATGGTTTTTCACAAATAATCTTAGAAATTTTCAAACAAAAGGAACATATGGTTTATAATGCGTAGACTTATTCTAGAACCTGATCGTTTTACATGAGTCGTATTTAAGTCTTTATTTGATATAATTTCACCAAATTTCACAAATTAATGTTTTATTTTGATACTTCCATTAGGTGTGTGTAAATTCTAGTCAACTTATAGAGAAAGTATCTTCTGCGGTGTCAGCGTTTACCGAAGCTTTGCGACGTGATAGCTATTCAACTAATATTAATGGTGAAGTCCGCGGTGCAATTAACCTTGAATTTGTGGTTAATAGAAAAGGAGGTTGGTTAGGACCAGAGGCTTCAGTTTGGGAACGTTGGATTGTGAATGTCTGTTTAAAGACTATTAATGCAAATGGTAACATGACAGTTTTTCGTGTGTAATTATCGAAACTTTGATTAATTGTCGTTTTCAAAGTAATTTCCCATAGTAATCTTATTTATATGATTATGTCTGTCCATAATTACTATCCCCTGCCTTCCTTGTGGTCTGGTAATAACTATGTCTTTGTTTCGTCTATCTTTTTTGTCTTTTAACAGCCTGCCTATGCTTGTTTGTTGATATACTATGGGACGTATTCTTATTCTTTTGTCTACACTGATAGCAGCAGTCTACCAGGGTTGATTTGAATCTTTTCGGGTCCTCATCACAGGAGGCAATCAAGTCCTTTGTTTCTACATAGAGGTTCCCAAACTGTATATCAGTGTCGATTTGCCTAATGTCTTGATAAAAATGACAAAATTTAGGTCTAAGAGAAAGCGCCTCAAATTGTAATTTACCAAGAGTTACTCTGGAAAAGCTATGGACTTACCTTTCCGGATATGCAGGAAATTTACTGCAAATCTGTTATGACTAATCACCACCATTGTCTCCCATTTCACAATATTTTGTAGTTCAATTCTGCTTAGTACGTTTATCACACAAATAATATTTACTTTTTCACCCTATAACTCATCTGTTATTCTACGTAAAAATGTATCCGCCACATAACTGGCCATTACCGTAACGACCATACATATTATATTTTATAATTGTAAGGACCTGAAGAGAATTTATTGTAAAGAATATTCTTCATTCATATTGACTTTTAATTGATGGTATGGGAATATTTCGCACTATTAGTGACAACCAATGCTAATTTTCACACTTCCATCCAATATGTTATAGCAGCAAATAACGCACCAGTTGCAGCGAGGATTTCGTAAAACATCAATGAGTTCTATTGACTAGTCTCCATGGAAAGAAGATATGGCCAATCAAAACGAAATAAGAAATTGCTTTTGAGACATCAGTCACTATTGTAAATGTCATAGTTAATTTAGTCAGTAACACTGAAAAAATGTCACGTTAACTGATTTTGGGCGAAACCTGCATGAACGTCACTACAAACGGTTCTTCTGAATAGTCAGTTAAAGTCTTCAAATACTGGCTTCTTTGTTGTTTTGGAGAACACGCTAGGGGTATAAGTTTTTAAACTCAATACTTACTGTCTACCAAAAACTTTATTAGCTAAAGTCATTCCCTGTTCCAGTTACTGTCGATCCGCTATGTTTTACATTATTTACAATTTGTTGAAGGTAGGTGTAACATGTCCCATATTAGTTTGTTTATTAGATGTATCACACAGTGAAACAGTATTATTTACTGGATGACGTTTCGAACAAAATTTATTGTTCACAATCATATCAGTTGTAGTCACACGACTTTGAAACTTGAATTTTGTAGTTTTCTTTGTCTTCTCCTATTTGTCGTAGGGGTAGTAGGATTTTCCAGATATCTGGGACAGGTGTTGAATCATTCCTATTACATGTGTTTGCAGTTGATTCGATAAACAAAGCTTCTGTTATCAATCCCTCCACTCTGTGACATTAGATTTTAAAACTGTCATCCTATCCCATCCTATTGTATGGTTGTGTGTAACTGCATGTAGTGCTATAGCTGAACTATTCTCTAGATTTCTTATTTTTTTGGGTCAACCAATCTAGATTTTGCTAGGTTTTTATGTCCTGCTAGTCTGACTGACTGCCCCTGTTCTACTAGTTCGACCTATGGTATTTGACCTGACAATCATTGCAGGGTATTAGATAAACTAAATTGTTTTGTTTTAAAGGCTCCACAGGATCCTTTAACCGACAAAGCTTGTTTCTAACTGAGTTTGTGGGTTTGAATGCCACTTTTATTCCTGCCTTGTTAAGAATTCCGCGTAAGGTTTCCGAGGTTCCTTCCTTGTATGGAATTACTACTGATGATTTAGATTCCTTATTGTTGGTGTTATTATTATTATTATTATTATCATTATTATCATTAATATTATTGTCATTATTATTATTATCACTATCGCTACTATCATTATTTATTTTATTTTTACATTTCCTTACATATTTTCTGACTAGTTTATCCGGGTAATTATTAAGTTTCCAGCTTGATTAGCCAGAGGAAAAAAGAAGAATAGCAGAAGTTCTATCCTCGAACACCTTGTCATATCTGGACATAGAGCACCCCCGCATGAATGCATCACAGGACTACACACAGTCCCCCAATATCGTACAAAAAGACTTACCATACGCCATCTGTACATACTTGAATTATTGACTATCCGAGATTTGAAACCGGACCTCTGCATTCAAATGGACTACATAAATTCACTCGCCTTACCGTGGCTAGAGTAACGTTCTTACTGTAATTTTGCTTATTTTTATTATGTAAGTTGATGAAAACACCAACAATAAGAAATCTAAATCATCAGTAGTAATTCCATGCAAGGAAGGAACCTCGGAAACCTTACGCGGAATTCTTAACAAGGCAGGAATAAAAGTGGCATTCAAACCCACAAACTCAGTTAGAAACAAGCTTTGTCGGTTAAAGGATCCTGTGGAGCCTTTAAAACAAAACAATTTAGTTTATCTAATACCCTGCAATGATTGTCAGGTCAAATACCATAGGTCGAACTAGTAGAACAGGGGCAGTCAGTCAGACTAGCAGGACATAAAAACCTAGCAAAATCTAGATTGGTTGACCCAAAAAAATAAGAAATCTAGAGAATAGTTCAGCTATAGCACTACATGCAGTTACACACAACCATACAATAGGATGGGATAGGATGACAGTTTTAAAATCTAATGTCACAGAGTGGAGGGAGAGTGATAGGATCCCACACACTTTGTTATTCTTCAATTATTTTAACGACTGTTAATCTCGAATAAGTGGTATATCATCATTTCCCACGCATTTTGTTATTGACTATTACGACCAATTATTTCAAATATTGTTAGCTGTCTGTATTGTTGTAAAAATGTATAAATGCCATTTCCTAAATAAGTTTCTTTGTCGTAGTTGTTGTACTACAATACACAGTCACAGACCAGCTTTTGTCTTTTGATATTTGCGTGGTTCGCTGAATCGGAAGGTACCAGAAGCAGATAGGCATATTAGTCAGGCGCAGACAGAACAAGGCGACAACGTCCTCATTTAATTCGGCTACGGTTACAACAGAGAGATTGATAACAGAAGCTTTGTTTATCGAATCAACTGCAAACACATGTAATAGGAATGATTCAACACCTGTCCCAGATATCTGGAAAATCCTACTACCCCTACGACAAATAGGAGAAGACAAAGAAAACTACAAAATTCAAGTTTCAAAGTCGTGTGACTACAACTGATATGATTGTGAACAATAAATTTTGTTCGAAACGTCATCCAGTAAATAATACTGTTTCACTGTGTGATACATCTAATAAACAAACTAATATGGAATTACTTACTACCACAGTGCCCAAGTTTTACACATATATGTGTAGTTTGTGTCTGAATGATTTTAGAAGGAGGTTTATAATCTTGTCAGTAGGTTTTATTTAGATTGTATAATTAAGCTTAATGTTGATGTTAAATTTTAAACATTTTATTGATTCGATTGACCTCAAGGTGAATTTCAACATCTTTACTTAGTCATTGACTTTTGGGTAGTTATGTATTTGGGTTTCTTGTCTCGCAAATTATGGACACCCAAACAATATTTCTTTTCCAAAATGTGTGCAGTTTTCAGTAACTTCTTTTAAGTAGTTACGGTTTTTTTTAAATGAAAGCATATTGGTTAGTAGAAAAGATATCAGCAAACAATTGACAAAACTTGCACCACTGTTATCATTGTTTCAAGTATGACTTTAATTTGAGCAATTCAAATATGTGCTTTAATTGATGTCTGTTATTCAGGAAACTGAATCATGCAGATAGGGTAACAGCAGAAGGCAACATATGGAAGCCAAGGAATATTTTCAATTGATGAAACGCTCTTTATGTCTATACAGTTTATATTCTTTAACCAGTCACTGAGCATGTGATTTTTGTTTACACTAGATAACGTGAGATAGAATGTTCAAATACATATAGTATTCTGTTGCTAATGCAGTATTGAACTGTGGGAATATATGAGAATAGTATTCTGTTGGAACACATTGTCTGTATCACACTACCACAATAGTACGGTAGTTAAAATGTGTATTTCAGAGTTTTTTTTAAGTGTTTTGTATGATCATGGTTTTCATATCGATCAAGGCAAATGGTAGAATTTATGTCTACAAATGCTCAGTTATCTGGAGTCTCCGGATTTACTCATAGCTAACTGTTTTCAATGTTGAGAAGTATCATTGTAGACGGTAGCTTTATAAGTGAAGAGGCTTTTCATGATAATATCAATTAAAGAATTATGGCTTATCTAATAGTCTCAGTCATACATTATGCGCAAGTAGCCTATTCACTAATTGACATCTTATTATTTACGAGCAACTCTGGATTTGTGTTAAATTTTGAATAATCTGTTAATATTATATTTATATTCTCCGATGACATTACCGTAGAGTTACTTGAGAAGAAGCTGAATGAAGAGAAGTCTTCTTCCCTCATAAAGAAAACTTTGGTCAGTGTATTCCGCATACTTATCTGTAATTTGCTAATTTTCAGCGGAGGAGGTCACCTTCATCATTCGATCGATCATCGGAGGATCATATTGCTAGCTTGTGACCTATACTCACTATTCGTATGTTAATTGCCTCTCGTCATAACAGCGTTTTTATCTTTCGGTTTACAATTTCCATTTATAAATTTAACAGTTCGTATTTTGTTTACTTAGTTGCTTTTTCTTTTACTTTTCTTATATAGACAAAGAAGCGTATCGTTGTCAACTTAGCAGTCAGCTAAGAGATGAATTATGTACAATTCTTGAACATTTCAATTCTCCCTCAGCGTATGCTCCATCTTTGGGTAGTTCACAGGCGGAAACAGAGCATATTATTGACTTCTCAATGTCTGGAATATCACCTTATCGTTTCAATATAAGCCACCTTACTACATCAGGTCAGAATCGTTCCGGTGTGAGTGTCACTATGAGACGGATATTTAAAGATGTTAGACTTTAGTAGAAAATTTATCAAGGTTCATTGTTTCTATCAGTTTTATTAAGCAATATGCACCAAGAATTTTATGTGCTTATATAATGCATTTTGACATTTGACTGACTTGTAGTCATACACTTGTATGCTATCATCATGTAAAGTTGTGCGTCTGCTAATTTTCAGTGACTTTTCTGTTAATGTTCTCTTTTATTATGAGATAATATAATTCTTATTATCACTGAATTGTACATGCATATATATATATATATATATATATATATATATATATATGATTTCCTTTAAACGTATGTGTTATGCTATGATACATTATGGAAAACGATGTATGGTTTAGTTGTTAAGCCGTTTAACTTTGACTTAGTGTAACATAAATTTAAGTCTCATTGTGCTTAATTTGGGTTTGATAAAGCCTAAAATATTATCTTATACTTTATGGAACAGGTTTGTTTTAAATGATAACATATGTACTCATAATTGCTAGTTAGTTAAGTTGCATTTATTTCATGTTTGACCATAAATTGTCAAAAAAATAATAATAATAAATGCTTGTTTAATAAATTACACATTATATACTGTTGAGATGAAAACTCAGTTAAAGAAAGTATATTCATTGTATCCTGTAAGTGCTGTTCAAATTTATCAATGGAAATGATTCAGTTCAGTGAACAAATTGAAGTTTACTTTACATGTAGAATTTTAAGCCAAATATGTGTTACTTTTTTATGAAATATAATTCTAAAAAATTACATGTATAACTCTAAAATCCATGTATATCATAAACGACATGTGGATTTCGAGAAAAAAAATCTGTAGATGCAATATAATTACATTGGATTAGCCTTTGGGCTTAGAAAATATAGTTTGCAGTGTGTCAACGCTGTTGGGCGGTTTCATCAATAGGAGTACTATGGTTGTGAGGGCTGCTTCAGTTATTAGCCAGGAATTCTACAAACTATAGCTATGTAGATTAAAATTGTCTCAATCACCTACTAGTTTAAAATTTGATTTAGATCGAAAATTCTGCATAAAAGACTATTGTAAGGGATATTTTTGTGGTGGTGTATCGTTGTTTTGTGTATTACATAAAGTTTCTGTCTATAATCACACACACACACACCCACTGTATCATCCCAGTTATATTAATCATTTGCATTAATTGACCTAAATGAATGAGTATTTAATTTGTTGTATACACTGTGTAGTATTATTGTTGAGATTAATCGTGTACATTCAGTGACCAGTTACTTTTAATTAAGAATGATATTGCAGTTAATGAACTATTTGCTTCAATGTATTCTTGTTCATTTCGACAACTCACTCCACTGTCATACTTACAGAGGGCTAGTTTCACATATGCCAGTTTACGCCGTCTCCGGCGCAGACGTGATATCCTGCTATCGACCAAAGGGCGGGTGTACTGCTCAGCAGTCCGCTCCGTCCTCCTTTATGGCTGTGAAACCTGGCCATTGAGAGCAGAAGACATGAAAAGATTAGCTGTCTTCGATCATAGGTATCTGCGTTCTATCTCCCGTGTGAAGTGGTATAATAAGGTGAGCAATATTGAGGTTAGGCGTCGAGTGCTAGGTAAGGAGGGGAAATCAGTCGACGAGGCTGCGAAGCTACATCGACTGAGATGGTTAGGACATGTGTTACGTATGCCTAGTCACCGCCTACCTCGACAGTGGGCAATGTTAGCTGATATAGGGCCAGGCTGGAAAAGAGCTAGCGGTGGTCAAACCAAAACATGGCACCAGTCAATGAAATCTACAACAGTTAATTTAAACCAACCACGTAGGAAGGTGTAGACTTCCTGACTGTTTGGGGTCCTCGGGACGGTAAAAACCAATGGTTGGAAACAATTGGTGATATGGCTCAAAATCGTTCTCAATGGCAGGCGCAGATGCATCCACTCCTTGTAACTTATGATTTCCATTGAAACTGTATTGTTTTTCGTTATTACAATTCCTTTGTCTCACACCTCTTTACTGTCTATATTATGCATTTCTTCTATTTTCTTCTCGTGTTTTGTGTGCTACATGGAGTGTGGTGACTTGAACTGCTGCACATATGCGCAAAGTTCTATGTCGAAAACAGACAGACCACTGTTTTACTTAGAGATGATGCAGTAGCATTCTAATAAATTTCATTTGAATTTAGTCGATTTAAAGTATATTAATAAAATAACTGAATTATATTCAATTTTCGTATTTTTTGTTACAGATTGAAAGAAATGAGAGTGCGTATATATTCCAAGCCGTCTTATGTGGTATTTTATATCAGACTCATTTTCTTGACATATATATAACTTAATTGAGGTTTAATTTTGTGTGCAAACTCACAGTTCATCATTCAACGGGTTAATCTAACATATCATCTTGAATTTATTTATTTATTTAACTCAACTAACTATGGAGATCAAGTTTTTTCAGACAACCTTTCTAGTTTAATCGGAATGTTTTCTTTCAAATTAGAAGTGTTTTAACTCAAATTATTAAAGAAATCGATTGACTATTACGATAAATCTAAGTTTAGACTTAACTAGGATAATGTCATTCACTGATAGCAAACTATGAGATTATATAACCTACTTGGTGGAGTTTCTACTTTTTTTTGACATTTTTTTCATTCCTTTATGTTCCCAAACTAGAGGTTTGAAGTTTCGGTAGCATTGGTGTTTATTTCTATGGTATGAGGTTGCTAGCCTCATGCCCAACCTTCCCTCTTTGCCAGTGTTATTTACTGGCTTAACGAGGTAAAGGAGTGCGTCGGTCGGGGATTGAACCCCGAACCACCTGCGTGGTTGGTGAGCATTCTACCACTGTGCCACCGACTCAGTTAGCTACTTGACGGATTGCAAAATAATTTTATCGGTTTTGGACTCATCAAGTAATGACGATAACAGAGTTAATATGATTGTAAGAAATTAAAATGTTACATGCCTTGATTATAAAGAAAAAAAAAACAATTTCCAGATAGCTGACACTATGATGGTTCGGATTCTTTATTTAAGCTGTGAAAATTGAAAACCTGCTGTTTTTACATTTATAAATGTAAATTAGTGTAATCTATCCCATTTATCCAAAGATGATAGTCTTTACTTACTGTCATTTAGAAATGAGTATGCATTTAACCTCAAACATATTCTTGCGTGAATTTTCGGCGATTCAACAAAGGACGAATTTTTAACATGGTCAAGTGGTGTTGACTTATTATTTGCTTAAAACAATGACTCATAGTCTCGAAATACAATAACTACTTTAGACAAAGCAATAATTAGATGTAATTTATCTGAATTGTGTAGTGTATTTATGCAAGACATTTCGAACAGTCTGATCACACACGGACAAGTCATAGGAGTATATTTGAAATTAGTAAAGAGTTAAGAGGTGAGAAAATCAAGTTAGGTCAAGTTAAAAGGACATATTGAAGGTCAAAATAACAATGAAGATCACCAAACCAAACAAGAGAGGTAATAGTACATCTACACTGGCTGGTATCAAAATAAAGTTTACCAAGGAAGGTTTAGTGTGATGACGAATTGTTGCTTTGATCGTATAAAGGTGGTTTAAACTTCCTAATTGCTAGCTAGGGCTTCCACAAACTGTAGGATACGCCCCAGACACGTTTTATAGATAGGTTTAAAAGACGTGTAAACATCAATTTTATGTCCTGTCTTTATAATGTGTTTCTCAATAGAGGAGCTAGGTCTCCTGTTCTCACCATTGGTGGGTTCTGGGGATTCTATTTGCTTCTGGAGCCATTTAGGAATATGCTCTGAAGCCTCTACTTGCAGAGATGGATGAGTGTGATCAGATTGTTCGAAATGTGTTGCGCAGATACATTATACGATTCAGACAAATTACGTCTTATTGCTTTGTCTAAATTCATAAAAGAAACTAATTGTTTTAAATAACTACTTTATGAACCATAACCTGTGTACTTTGTTTTAGAAACTTACTTCATCTATAATAACAAGACAGAAATGAATATACACAGCTTTATTTGACATTAAATGTCAGAAAGAAATAATCTCGAGAAAAAATAAACATTTGTCAAGCCACTTGTCATCCTCTTGATACGGCTTTCTGATAAGAATGTGTGCCTATAAAGTATGACAAAATGTAATGGTACTTAAAACAGAAATTTGCACAACTTTTAACCGTTTTGTGAATAATGTGCCTAGTACACAGTTTGGATTACAGTATCATTTGCTGTTACTCATTGTTAATTCCTTTCCTGTCTGCTCCTTGTCATTCCTTCTTTTGTGTTAACATTTATACTACTTATCTGAAGTAAGTAGTACAGGTGGTATTTGTTAATTCTTAACCATGTCTTCATTTGCTATTGGAGTTTAACTCACTCGATGTATTGCTACTGATCTATTAGGTGTATAATAATTATTTTCTTACAGTCGAACATTATTTGCTGTATATGCTTTATTCGTGTACCTATTACTGTTGAACATTGTTTATCGGTATCCCTTCATTCCGTGTCTAGCATTCGCGCGCTGTTTAAATCAACGCGTGCGTCGCCTCTGACACAGATATGCTGTTGGTTTCCTATTGACGCACATTGATTGTGCTTTGAAGACACTCAGCCGGAGACATCTTATATCTGGATTTTGCATATTATGCTTCAACTTTCATGTTTATTGTAGTACCGTATTTTAGACATATCTTGTGTTTTCAAGGATTTTACCTGTCACTCAACGTGTGATTTTAATAATCGTTCGATTATCGTCCCGAATTTCCTTCGGAAGAAATTCACAGTACATAGTTCGGTTGCTTTATACCCAAAAAGGTATGATGTGCAATTGGTCACTACAATCAAACTGTGAGTTTCTTCCGAAGGAAATTCGGGACGATAATCGAACGATTATTAAAATCACACGTTGAGTGACAAGTAAAATCCGAAAACACAGGATGTGTCTAAAATACGGTACTATAATAAACATAAAAGTTGAAATATAATATGCGAAATTCAAATACAAGATGTCTCCGGCTGAGTGCCTTCAAAGCATAATCAATGTGCGTCAATAGGAAACCAACAGCATATCTGTGTCAGAGGCGACGCACGCGTTGATTTAAACAGCGCGCGAATGCTAGACACGGAATGAAGAGATACGAATAAACAATTCTGGACAGTATCGGGTACATAAATAGAGCATATACAGCAGATAATGTCCAACTATGATAAATTAGTTACTACACACCAAACAGAGCATAAATACACTAACTGAGTTGAACTTCAGTAGCAAACAAAGTCGTATTTAAGAAGTACATTGTATAATTCATACTACTTACTAATGGTAAACAGTATAAAGTTGAACACAGAAGAGAGAATAGCAAAGGAGAAATAAAAAAGGAATTAACACAAATTAGTATGATTGATATAAGCATAGAACTTGGCCACTGTGGTAGGGTATAAATCCATTATGTATAAAATTTATTTTGATTAAATCTCACAGTGTTATACAGTAATATTTACTGGTGACGTTTCGAGCACAATTTAT